CAGGCCAAGGGGAGATCAGAGCATGATGCCTGAATTAATGCAAGACTAGAACAGGAGGGAAAATTTCAGAATGTCAGGATTGACTTCGTTCCTACTTAGAAATTTGGAATAGCATTTCAAGGTCCCTCTGATTCTGTTATTCAGATGGGCTCTATTGCCAGGCTTGCATTCCCAGTAGGGATTTTTGATGTCCCATAGGTTCAGAGGAAAACAGTTTGTCAAAGGCCTCTTTAATAGAGTTGAATCCCAACACAAAACAAACATAAAATAGTTCAGTTAAAGAATCTTTAAAAAGTAAATAAATGGTCCATTGGGAATTCAGATGCACCCTAGTAAGTCTTTGGCAAAATGAGGAATAGGGAATTTGGGGTGTTTTCATTTTAGATTGCACTCTCCTGTTTCCCTGTGCTGTTTCACCCTTGGTTGGAGTGTTCCAGCTCTGGTTTCCTCTTACTCCCTACAGCTTCTCCTGTCACCTTTTCCTGTGTGTGCTGTTAACTGATGCTGCAAAAGCACCATCCCTCTGATACAGCCCAGGAGGCAGCGATGGCAGAGCCAGGAACTGAGCTGCATCCTCGAGTTCCCTTTGGATTGCCGGCTCTGAAATCTTACTTCATTTAGTTGATTTTTCATTCTTTGTGATGAGCTGCAGACAGTTCTGTCGCTCTCTGGGATATTGGGAGCGGTGTGAGGGCACCAGGGTTTGTGGTGCCAGGGGCAGGATACACCTTCCCCTCAGTGTAATGAGAATTCCTTGGTAACATTCACGTGTTAAAAATGAGAAGCATGTTTGTGCATTAGGGACCAGTTACACACTGTAGGCACTCGATACCTTGCTCTTGTAGATATTTGTGTGACTTCTGCCTTGGCAAAATTTTCCGTGTTCAGGAGCCCAGGCACCCCCAGAGCTTAAATCCCAAGTGCTGTGTTGGCTGGTTTGAAAGGAGCAGGTGGGTATGAGTAAATCATACACTGGAAGGGACTGTGATCTCCAAGCCTTTACAACTGGTGGTTAATTCTCGTCTCCGTGCCCCCAGGCACGTTCTTGGCGAACTCTGCAGTCTTGCTGGTTTTTGAGGGTCAGGGTTAGGTGAGGATAGATCCCTGTGGGAGCAGATCTGCAGAATAATGTGCATGAGGTTCCAAGGAGCCTGTTCACTCCTATCCAGGATTGTGGTGGGAGCTGCTTAGGTGCAGAGTCCTCTATTCGGGCAGTGAAAGACCCTTTCTGGGATTCCTTATGCCCTTCACAACATGGAAGCCTCTGATCGCTGCCCTCCTCCTTCAAGCAGATGTTTGTCAAAAAGGAGCGATCCAAAATACATAAAGTCAACTTATTTCTTTTTAGGGGATTACTAATTCTCAACTCCCTCCCTTCTCTGGAATATTAGGGCCCACATGCTGAATATCCCTTATCTTTTTTGCAGTCAGTTTTTGCTATTTGCCTGTTTCTTTTTATTGGGGAATTACTAATTCTCAGCTCCTTCCCTTCTCTGGAATATTAGGGCCCGTATACTGAACATCCTTTACCTTTTTTTGCAGGCAGAATTTGGTGTTTGCTCGTTGTTTATACCTGTGTATGGTGTTTATGGGAAAGGAAAAAGTCCTCCTAGGGGACGACTGGCCTTCCCATAGAAGAGGGACTTACTTTGGTCTTAAATGTCTGGGTGCTGGTTCTTAAATCTCCTGGTGGTGGTTTTTGAAGGTCCTGGTGGTGGTTCCTGGTGGGGCCGTGCTGGGTGAGAGGGTCGTCACCGGGTCCCAGCGCTGCGGGCAGGGGGGTGGATGACACCCGGCCGTGGATTTACCACACGGAGGTGCCGGAAAGAGGAGAAAGGAGGAGGAAGAGGAGCACTGGGCAGGGAGCGGTGCCGGAGGCCGAAGGGTTATTCGGGGTTGGGGGTGTTGCTGAGGGGAGACGTGAGGGGCCGGGGGAGGCGGTGGGTGTGAGGCAGCGGCTGCTCGGAGCGAGGGAAGGGGGAGCCGGCGCCGCTGCCGAGCCCGGGGCCGGGGCGGGCGGGACCCGGCGGCGGCGGCGGCTCCTCCGCGGCTCTTCCCCGGCTGTGCCCGGGCTCGGGGCCCCGCGGGCGGCGGGGAGGGGACGGCGGGGCGGGGGGGGGGCCGGCGATCCAGGCCGCCTTTTGCGGCGCGCCCCGCGGGTGCCGCCCGCCCAGCCCCGCCGCCATCACACGCTGGGCGGCCGCCGCCTCGCGCCCGGCCCTCGGCTCCGCTCCGCTCGGCTCCGCTCGGCTCCGCTCCGCGCCCGGGCTCGGCTGCTCCGCTCGGCTCCGCGCTCCGGGGCTCGGCTGCTCCGCTCGGCTCCGCGCTCCGGGGCTCGGCCGCCGCTCCGAACCCCCCGCAGGAGGAACGCGCGGGGGGCTCTTGAGAGGATTTAACCCCTGAGGCACCTGCTCGGCGGCGGCGGCGGCTCCCGAGCCTCCCCCCCACACACACCCCCACCCCGGTCCCGGCGCTGCGCATTTCCCCCGGCTGGAGAGCCCCTTCCCCCGGGGAGGACGGGCTGTGTGGTGCGGTGTCCCTGAGCTCCGAATGGTGGAAGTTTGACGCGGAAGGGGATGCGGTCGGAATTTTTCGGTGTGTTTTCAAAGCCCTCTTCCACCAACACCCCCACCCCCCCCCCGTCGTTCGCGGCCGCCGTGTAGGTGCGTTTGCTTTCACCGACAGACCTTCGGCTCCCGGCGCTGCTCGGCTCTTGGGCTGATTAACAAGGAGCTT